GGATGAGCTTATATCTTTAAAAATGTCAATAGTTCACAAGTTACAAGTTCATTTCTTAATTATATATTTAAAAATAGAGCATTTTCGAATGCAGCCTAAATACTTATCATATAAATGGGGCATTCCACGCTAAATCAACCACTTTTGACCCTGACCTCTTTTGATTTGGCTGAAAGTTTACCATCCTTTTCTACCCGATCAAAAACGTCTTTCATAATTTTTTCAAATTTTTTTACCCAACCAAAAAAAGTTCCGAATTTTTCAAAAAAACTGCTTTTTTATTTTTAAATTGCCATAACTTTTTCAAATATTGGCTTATCGGGACGTTTTTTTTTTTTTTCAAAATTTTTGTTATTAAATGTTTTTTTTGGAAAAAAATATAAAAAAATTATTCAAAGCTATCTTTATCGTTATTTTTAAAATTTTTAGAAAAAACTCCGAATTTTTTGATGAATTCCATTTTTAGTTTCTTTTTTCTTTTTCTCATTTTAAACTTTGACATTTTTTACAGATATTATGAAATTTCCAGAAAGGTGTTTTTCCGATTTTTATTTTTTCTTTTCAATTAAAAAAAAAATTTTTTTTCTTTTGTCGTATTTTTCATAACATCGGTCCAAAAATTTACGGGAATCCTCGAATTTTTTTCCAAAAAGAACATTTACTAACAAAAATTTTGAAAAAAAAACGTCCCGATAAGCCAATTTTTGAAAAAGTTATGGCAATTTAAAAATAAAAAAGCGGTTTTTTGAAAAATTCGGAACATTTTTTTTGGTTGGGTAAAAAAATTTGAAAAAATTATGAGAGACGTTTTTGATAGGGTAGAAAAGGATGGTAAACTTTCAGTCAAATCAAAAGGGGTCAGGGTCAAAAGTGGTTGATTTAGCGTGGAATGCCCCATATAAAAATGCATGTGGGTACTCAAATGAAAGCTCTTGATGAGTGTAACATCGGGATGAGCTTATATCTTTAAAAACGTCAATATTTAAGAAAGTACAGTGCAATTTAACAAGATTTATTATTTAATGAAGCAAAATTTTATTTATTCACAGTTCATAACTCACGGCAGTCACATAGTGACTGCAAGGATGCTAGTTATCATTAATTAATTAATTACAAACTTACTTATAATGTGCTCGTCGATCTCGTACGAATGGCGTCAAGCGTTCTACCGTTTCAATGTTATGAGCAAATACATCCAATTTTGAGTTAACAATTGTTTTTATACAAGTTTCATTTCCTGCAAAATCAGGTACTAATGCCTCGACTAAAATATTAGTCCTGAAAATATTTATTATTAATTAATTAATTAACTAATTTATAATTTAACAGGCTTATAAATTTTTCAAACAAGAAATTTTTACCGGTTCTTGAGTTCTTTTATCGTAGCTGCAATGTGATTGGATCCTCCATCGGGTAAGTCTAAAAAAAATATATGTATATTAGTTTATTAATTAAATAGAAAAATTATTTATCTTATGATTCTTTCGAATTTTAAATCGTTTTCCCAGAGTTTTAATTTTAAGATTTTGAGAGGCATTTCATGCGAAATGGGAAAATGACTAAAATTTTAAAATTTCTCCAATTCATTCTAATTTAGTCCTAATTTGTTATTAAAAGTTTATATTTAACTAATTTGTAAAGAAAATCCACAGATTCGGTAGAATCTGGCGCCAAGTTCCGTTCAAATCCGTTGTCAACGGAGCGCCAGACTACCGACTGTGTTTACTGTAAGCAGAACGGTATTTTGAGGTTGCAAAATTTTATTTAATTCTACGGTACCTTTTTTTTTATAAATTGTATATTATAACAGTAATTCATACTTTAATTTACTGTTATTAATTAATTATATTCACATATAACAATTAATCTACTTGAAATTAATAAATTTAATCAGCACAAACTATAGCAACGCAAAAATTTCATGTACTTGAAGTTTCGAACGTTCAACTGAACGAATAATATAAATTTCGATCCTGACTTTTTTTCGATGGGCAAAGTGATCAGCCACAGACTAAATAATTCGAGAATACATAGTAATCCTTCATTAGATGGGAAACTACAGTCGAAAAAAGATATTTCACAGCTTGCATATACACCCGCCAGGGTGCACTGGAATTATTTTTACATAAACTGTAGCCTCAAGGGAATAGTTTGCTATAAAAAATGCAGCCAACGCGAGATTTAAATTTGTACTAATTGTAAATTTTTATTATAATTAAAAAAAATACTAAAATCCGAACAAAAACAGTTTCACTGTAAAAAAAACGCGCCAAGTCCACGTTCATAAGACTATTAAGAAAAAAAAAATTAGTTTTTTCTTTACAAAAAGAGATAGAATAAAAAAATTAAAAAAATTAAAAAATCCAAGTAACCAATATGATTGTTTATGATTTTCGGAAATTAAAAAAAACTTTTTTGTAAATTTAAAAATTAAAAAAACAATTTTGAAACGTATTTAGTGTGCGCGGTTGCAAAATATTTTACTTTTAACTAAATTCGCAAAATCTATTTACTAGGACTTTAAAAAAATTGAAATACACAATGAATGTTGTTCTTTAAAAGTTTTATACAATTCTGTTAAATTGCATAAAATAAGTTTTTTTTGGACTGGTTTTTTTTTGCCGCCATCTTTCGCTATAGAAAGACAATCTCAAGGCTTCTCCGGAATTTATCGAAACATTTTGTCATCATATTGTTAGTCTCTTACCGCATGATTTCATTGCTAAAGAGCAATCTGCTTTCATGAAAAGAACCAAAGAATCGTTGCAAGATAATGAATTTTTAGCAATTTGCGATTTTGCTGAAAATTACGCATTTGTACTTCAAAACGCAGCACCGGGATTCCATTGGAATAATAACCAAGCTACGATTTTTCCCGTGGTTATCTATTTCAAGCAAAACAGTGAAATAACTCATCGAAGTTTGGTTATTATTTCCGATAATAATAATCATGATGCAATAGCTGTTTATGTATACCTCAAAATTGTAACTGACTTTGTAAAAGAATCTTTTCCCACTGCAGTGAAAATTATTTATTTTTCTGATGGTGCTCCACAGCAATTCAAAAATTTCAAAAACTTTGTTAATATTTATTATCATAAAGATGACTTTCATTTAGATGCTGAATGGCACTATTTTGCCACAGCTCACGGCAAGGGCCCCTGTGATGGAATTGGAGGAACAGTAAAAAGAATTGCGGCTAGATCTAGTCTCCAACGACCAGTCGATAATCAGATAACAACACCTCAAGAATTGTATAGATGGGCAGCTGAATCAGGTTCTTTACCTAATATTGCTGTGAAGTTTTCACCCGAAAATGATTATTTGACTGCAAAAGAGAAATTGGATCTTCGGTACCATACAGCGAAGTCAATCACCGGGACGCAAAAAGTACACTCTATCGTACCTATGAGCGACGGAAATGTGAGAGTTAAAGAATATTCGAGTTCTACGGAAGATCGTATATGTAAAATTTTTTAAAAAAATCGTAAATGAATAAATAAATTTGATATCATTGTTTGTACACAGATTTGAAGAGTAATTACTCATTTAAATTATCTATTCTCAGTAAAAAGTTATATAAATTACTTAAAAATAAAAAGAAAAATAATATTTAGTTAATACATGAGCATTAATGTCGATTTATAGAGGAAAAATAATTTTGTTAATTTTAAAAATTAAAAAAAAAAAATAGAAGCTATGAAATGCCCTTGATCGGATGGGTCTTAAAAGTTGCAGAAAGAACAGTAGTTTATTATAGCAAAATTTCAAAAAAATCGAAGGGTGCTTGAAATTCAGAAATCAGCTTTAAAATTTTCAAACTTGAAATTCATATAGTAAAATATTTTGAAGAATTTTTTTGTATTTTTTTCCAAAAACAACGTGAAAAAACGAAAATTTAAAAAAAAAAAACACTTAATTTCATCCATTTTTGACAAAGTTATAGGCAAAAAACCAAAAAAAGAGCGATTTTTTTAAATAATTCATATCTTTTGAACGGGTTATGAAAAAAATCTGAAAATTTACCTGGAAGCCTTTCTCAATGAGTATAAAAACATATGAAAAAATCAAGAAAATTAAAAAAAAAAAATTTCAAACTGTCCGATTTGGCGTGGAATGCCCCATATATATATATATACCCGGGGAAAAAAAATTATATATAATTTTATATAATTATATATAATTTTATATAATTATATATAATTTTATATAATTATATATAATTTTATATAATTATATATAATTTTATATAATTATATATAATTTTATATAATTATATATAATTTTATATAATTATATATAATTTTATATAATTATATATAATTTTATATAATTATATATAATTTTATATAATTATATATAATTTTATATAATTATATATAATTTTATATAATTATATATAATTTTATATAATTATATATAATTTTATATAATTATATATAATTTTATATAATTATATATAATTTTATATAATTATATATAATTTTATATAATTATATATAATTTTATATAATTATATATAATTTTATATAATTATATATAATTTTATATAATTATATATAATTTTATATAATTATATATAATTTTATATAATTATATATAATTTTATATAATTATATATAATTTTATATAATTATATATAATTTTATATAATTATATATAATTTTATATAATTATATATAATTTTATATAATTATATATAATTTTATATAATTATATAT